AGCGGCGTGACAGACATCGATCATGTGATCTGACAGATTTCAAATGTCTAGAAATATAGTGTCCTCAGCTATGCTTCAGACAATTATTAAGCCCAGTTTGCCAAGAAGGGCAAAACTTTGGGAAGAGAACAGAGTTTTGTCTATCTGTTCTTATAAATCGAATATCTCAAGAATAATAGAGATACAGACTTAAAACTTTACAGGTATATGTAAAAACAGTAGCTAAACAACTTTACTTAAGAGTGGGTGTGGCGACTTAGTAAAGTGGTCAAGTTGTCACACCCCAAGTGGCAGGACAAGAGTTCGAATCCCACTAGTGACGAAATTCGAATTTTACAGAATGTATTATGGCAGACTGTGTATAATCTGATAGATCAGCAGTTCTGTAAACTTGGTTGTACCAGAGGTTATTGGGAAGCTGTGAAACTGTAGTGTGATGTATGTATTACACAAAACCTGAGTGAAACAGCTGTATAAATCCAGGTATTAGAGCACATGGAAGTCTACTTGGTACATCCCAAGCAAAGAAGTAGCACAAACTTTGACAGTACTATGTAAAAGGCTATCTAAAAGATCTGGACACCAATTTCAGTAGTCTAGACGAAGATCAGTGTTTGGCAAAACACTATACCAACCAAGCCATCAGATAAGTAACTGGAGGAAAAGAACCTAACTGTGGAGACCAGAGGCAGATCACAGCCCCTCTAGGCTATCTGGATTGGGAGTTTAAGTTACTGATAGAACTTAGGTACTGGTGATAGTCTGTAAAGTGTGTGCTGGGGTTTGGGTGAACTCTGTAAGAGCAAAAGAAGGTAACGGTAGAGTAAACTCTGCAAGAGCAGAAGTAGGTAATAGTAGCGGCTTCGGCTCGCAAGTACTTGTCCTCAGACTCAGCGTAAGTTACCGAAGTTTAAGTTAGCCAGATTGTAAGTATAAAAAGCTCTAGCTAATGACACCTCAAGAATAAATTAGTCCTAAGAGTATTAGGGAAGTATCTGGACTTTTTACATCAAGTAATTGTGACAGAGAAGTATTGGTGATACAAGCTGAATTTGTATGTAAATGTACCGGGGTTCTATAAGCGAGCTCTTACCTATAAACTTGAATGAAAACTGTAGTCCCAAAGAGGCTAGTTATAAAACTTAAAAAAAAAAAACAACTTTACTTAAAAGTCAAGTGGTTGTTAACTTAATAAGATTTTGCGTAAATTAATAAAAACATAAAATATTTTTGGACGAAATTTTGTGTACAAGTGATAAGCAGAAAGAGTTATACTTTGGTTTTCTGAATTATTGTTTCTAAGTGAGGAATGTATAAGTAAAAAATATATTATATATAAGTTTAGGTTGTATGTAAAATAATACCTGAAGTTAATTTACATTTCTATTGCTCTATACTTTTACAATCACTATTTGGATTGAATTTTAATATTTTATTTTTATAACAATAGAGATGATAAGTTTTTCACCACAATATTCACCACTCTTTTACTCACTCTCTATAAAATTTCTTATATTCTCTTTTTTATGATTATTGTTGTATATAGGACAGAGTACAGATCTATTAAAATTAAAATAATTACTATATTTAAAACTATGTTTCAAAGTTAAATAAGGAAATCATTCTAATACTATTTCAATAACATGTTGTTGCCTTTCTTCAGAGTCTTTAGATAAAACAAAAATTGGAAATTATTGTTTAGATGGCATAGATTAAACATTTATTTGCTGTACCCTTATCTGAATTTCTGGTGAACTGTTCTGTAAAATATAATTATCAGTCTTTTTGATTTGTGGAGGTTCCAGATTTTCAGACTTTATCCAAAGATCGAATTCAGTTTTATTCTTATACCTTTTATATAATCTAGAACGAATTTTATCTGTTAAAATATCTGGCAATTCTGTTAATTTAGCTTCTTATTCCAAATATTCGGAAGTCAATGTTTTATTAGCTTTTGCTTGTGTATCTATATTCCTGTTTTATATATATATCTGCATATTTTTCTAAATTAACAATAACTAACAAAAAATAAATATGCCTCAGAAGACTTAAGCGAATTGTACTAGTATAAGTTTAAAGTTTATGCTGTTATCTCAATTTCAATTCCACGCTGTTCACATTTAATATAGTAGAATCCAACTTTATATCTGCCTCCTATACCATTATCATTATCATGATCTAACTTGTATAGCAGACATAAAGATTCATTAGTAATTCTATAATAATCATCATTTCTATTACTACCTTCTTGATATAAATTAGGATACTGTTCTAGTATTTTATTACAAAAGTAGATATAGTCATAAGTTTGGTTATTTGGTTTTTAGGTTGAGATATCAGTAGTATACTTACTGGTAAAGCTTTCTGTATTTTCAGGTTAAAAGAGTTAGAGGTCTGAGATTCAGTAGATTTGTTTACTATAGTTTTTGATAAATCATTTGAGTCAGACATTTTAGTCACATAAGAGTGAGACCCAGGTCGCACAATATACATTCCTTACTATTTCAGGATTCTTTAGTAAAATGTTGTATAATATATTAAATTTGCAAGTTAAAGAGTTTTGATATTTTGTTCGCACTATAAGATTTAATCTGTTTAATCTTATCCTTTTCTATGATGTTAAATAATTTATAAATCTTACAAGCTTTTTGAGTTTGCTTGTAAAAATTCTCATGTGAGACACCAGAAAAACAATTTCAAATTTCATTATAATCTTGAATTCTTGCCAAGTTATCTGTTCTTTTATTATTTCAGCAAATAGATAAATTATCATTAAACCTTCTTTTGAAACCTTTCGCATAATAATACTAGCTTAAAATTTCTTTTTGCTTAGCATAGACAGTATTTTTTAGCTTTCTTTGCTTTTTGATATTAATGAGCCAATTCGATAACAATATATTTGTCATTTTCATTGTGATCTGATATATCTGGCTCTTTATTTTTAATGACTTCAATTGATTCTTCTGATACAGGTTTCAAATATAATTCTTGTATAAATTTTTGTATCTCAATTTAGCTATTCTTCTGAATTAGATCGTTTTTAGTTTTAGTCACATAAGGATGAGACCCAGGTCGCATGGTTGATGCTCGGTTATAATATTTATTTTAGAAGAAATGATACTTTGTGTCTGGTTATAACTTAGATAAGTAACTATATAATCATGCGAAACTTTTGTTTTTTCAGGCTGTATCGGTACCTATTTGCTGTTTAACTCAAGTAGAACTTTCAGTTTTACTTTTTTACTATATAATTCTTTAACCGATATAGAGGATAATTCTTGTTTCCAAAGTTTCTTCTCTTTAATTCTTTGAATTATCTCTTTACTAACCTGTTTCTCATATTTTGAATCTACGAATTCATCTATTTTCTTGTCTTCTAATGACTTACTCTTTATGCAGACAGATGATGTGGAATATTGGAATGAAAGCTCCTAATGTATATCAGAATTTGAAGTGTTATCAAATATATTAATTGCAAGAGTATTAATAGTATAGACACAAGTTTTTGACTCATCACAATGTAAGTTTGTCTGTTCAGAAGCATTGCTAGAATTTTCTGTTTCAATAGAGGTAGTATCATCTGATTTAGATACGAAGGCATCAGTGGAGCTGGCATAGTTATTACTTCATAATATAATATGGTTGCCCTTTCCTTTGTTAGTTTGTAACTGTTTCTGTTCTAATTTCGCAACTCTAGCTTTGAGTTTGGCATTTTTTGAAGCAGTATCTTTATCATTCTGCTCCAGTTTCATAAATCTGGATTCATGTTTTTTCAAAGCCTGTTTTAATTTTGCATTTTCAGTTTTAAGTTTAATATTCTCAGACTTGATCTCAGTGTTTTCTCATCTAAGTATATTATTCTCAGCTACAAGCTTGGAAATTGGTTCTTCTAATAAATCAACTTTGGATTGTTTGTTTGCCATTTTTTATATTTTATAAAAATATAGATATATTCAATTCTTTATCATGTTAATGTAAACTGATAAAATTTCAGCAAACAAATCCTTAAAAATGTTCATCAAAAAATGCCAAGAAAAAATAAATATATTTACATAAGCAATTTATATATAAATATCATCACAAATAAATTCTTTAGAATAACTTTAAACTATTGCAAAGCAGGCCGTTAAACGATGAATCAGAGATTTAAGACTCTGTCTCTTCTTTGAATCATGACCCTTTGGATCTACAATTCTCACTATAACCCAATATGCATCTCTCCCATTTTTATTTATACATCACTTACAAAATATGACAAATATACACAACTTATCTAATAATCTAATCTGCACTAAAAATGAATCTAGATATTTAGAATATATAGTTATTAAATCTAATAGGTCAAAAACTAAATATGTCTGGTTTTGATATAGCAATTATTTTCGATAAAAAAGATAGAACACTACCCAAACCTATTAATATTCATCACAATTTTGATATGAGGTATGTAGTGTCATATATATTACATTATACTAGAACTTATAGTAATAATCTTAATCAAATATTTGATAATGAGAGATTATTTGACAGTCTGTTCATTATATAGCAGAATAAAACACTCTTTTAATGGAGCTTACAGATAAGAATATCATTACAAGATTTATTAAATTCTGAAAATTTTAGTTTCTATCACTGGCTATATTTATTTGCATCATTTAGTAAAAATATATTTGTTAATTTCGATTATTACAGACCAAGGATTCATAAAAGTCATATGGCTATATGTTTCAATTGCTAGCAATTGATTTAAGTCAATGATGTGAACTGAAAAAAGTATATACTATCTATAAATATATTGAAAAAGTTGAACCTAGTAATTGGACCCGATCGAAAAAATGCTACCCGGGTTACCCGACGGATAAACCCGCGGGTTACCCGGGTGATCGAC